GCCGCGTGATCGGTGTTCACACGTGAACCGGTAGGACAGTCACGCCGGGTGAGGTCGCCGATCGGCGACCCGGATTGCCTGGACTAGGGTTGACACTATCAGAAAGTTGTCACTTTTACCCTAACCCGCATAACTGGGTCGATAATTTGTAATCGAGTTAGGGCTGTGCCAAATACATTTAAATAACTGGCGAGTCAACTACCAATGTAAAGGACAACGTATCATTACATACTTAATAATTAACACAAACAGATATAATATTAAAGACTGTAAGAACCAATAATTATTACTTTATAATTGAGGCTTAAGGTTGATTTTAGATTGGGGCAACCTTGCATGAAAATAATATTGACAACAAATCACAATGTTGAGGTCAACTACCTCAAACATCGAGACAAATCGCAACCGTATCCTTTATCAGAAAGTTAGCAGTACATAGGTAAATATTAAAAGGTTTCGTCGCGTATTTTCTCGGAAACTTTATTTACAATTTGAACATAGCTGGTAATAAATTAAGTTTTACTATAGCTAAAACCATGCTTCTTGTCTTTGAAATATAGCATTTATAGGACTGACTAAATATATTAGGCCGAGGAGTCTTTGTGGGTACTGGCTATGCTATGGCACTGCTATGTTCAGAACTTAAGTGTATGGAGAGCCTGTATAATTATAGGTTCTAAGGGATATGTGACAACGCCTCTGTAGCCTCCATTTTATTTTAGGTTTGTTGCAGGCTCTTTTTACTAGAAACGAGGCATTCCATCTTAGGCCTTAGAGGCGAACCGGCGTTACCACCAGGTGGACTATGTGTTCGTTTACTACCCTTATTCTATACAAAAAAAAAATTACTTCAATATTAAGTAAGATGTTTTCAATTCCAATTAATAAGGGTTTTTGGTCGGACCTTGTATAGTTTAAAAAATTTGGACAATTAATGACAAAGTGGTTTAGGGAGTGCAGAGTCTAATTTCCTTGCACGAAGTAATTCTGTTTCCAATTACTAGTCTATGAAATGTAGTTGTGCTAGTTTTAAAAATCGCCAGAACATCGGTACGTTTTCAGAATTAAAAAAAAACTTTATTAATTAATGACAACAACCAATCTAAATATCGAATGGCTCAAGCAATCTCGCGAACACCCAATTACCCAACCCAACCTTGAAAGTCTCTAAAAGCGATGACGAAACTAAATAGCTGTTTCATAACAGTATTACGGGTCTTAGTGACCAGGCGATGAGCACAAAACCGTTCTTGTTGTACCGTACGGTCCCAGTTTTTGGTTAACGGTGTGTTCACGAAGTAAATGATTAGCTATAACTGTCCGCGTGAAAAGCCGGCTCGATAGTTTGTGGGTACTGACATCACCGTTAGAGATCGATCGTACATTTTCATATTATTGTCTATGGTCAATACTGAGTCGAGTTGAAATTGTATAATTTAACATTACGGTGAGAAAACTATTATTTGTAAATAATTATTTTTAAAAATATAATAAATTTTCGATTTACAATTAACTTAAGCATCACAAAATATGTGTGCTTTGTAATTATATTTTAAGTTAATTTAAATATATAATTCAAAAATGATAAATACGATTTTGATTTTAAACTAGGTAAACGAGGTACTCATACAATATAAATAATAAAATAACGCTCTAATATTTTAGATTAACGTAAGTTATTAACCGACCTGCATTCACCGTTTGTTTCGTCGACCATTCTATAACGGGACACATATTTTATTTGCATATATAATGCTTAAAAGTAGAAATAAATTAAACATATATTAGCAACTTAGCTTCGAGACATTAAATGTGTATATATATGTATATGCCCAAGTCTTTAAATACTACTAATATTACATACTCGAATCATGGATATAAAGTTGACTCACAGTTAAAAAAAATTACCTACTTAGGTCGCTATAAAATAAATGTTCTAATTGTATTAATATTAATTCATTTTAAAAACAACATTTTTTTGTAATTATGTCTCATTAACAATACATATTCCCATTAAAAGTTTACTAAAGATCATAAACATAAACTACTGATATCTAATTCAATTTTACTCGTTCTTTGGCTTAATCTTTCGTTCATTGAATTCATACAAAATTAACACTTCATACCTATGTTGAGAATACTCAACGAGTAATGAAAAAAAATTCATTCAAAGAGTCTTCTAACTGTGTTACAGAAATATCAAGTTAACGGGTACCTATAGATAGTAAAAAAATAGCTGATCTAACTGTTGTGTATGCTCCGTTGATTTATTTTGTGGTCACTTAGGTTTATTTGTTCATAACCATACACTATCTATTTATAATTGTAAATGTACATATTTTGTAATATTTACGTATTCAATATTTAAGTAGATAGTTATTGTTTAAGTATATCTCGGGCAAAAGTAAATTTTTAACATCAAAAATAATTTAATGACGCAATTTTTTATAGTATAAGAGTGACAAACAAGCACACAGTCCAACTAAGTAGATGCTGTAGCCCATTGATATTTACATCTGTTTTCGATTAATAACCGAAATGCAGATGCGTTGTCACTCCTCAAGACTCAGATGGAATGCTTCGTTTCCAGTAAAATAGGTCTCCGGTTCTCTACACTCACCATACGAAAATACAGCAGCATTTAGCTGCTATTTTATTTGCGTGGTCCATTCTGGTCGAGCCGACCTATTTGTACTGCAACCATAATATCGGCAATATTATGGTGATTCTACCTAGAGTTATTATGTACTACGTACATATTACTTCAATGGTTCTGCCACGTATGGGTATATTACTCTTAATTAAATATGTTTTACTTACGCTAAAGTATTATATATATTAGCGTAGGTAATGCGTTTATTACTTACGCTAATATATACGTAATACGTTTAGCATTTTTAAACGAAAATCGCCGGTGACATTTTGTCTTTCCCGCCAATTAAGGTCGTTGCGTTTAATCAAACGGTCGATTGTAACGGAGTGCGCGCGCGCGCATCTGGGGCGTCCCAGTGACACCGAACGGTTTACGTGGCCGCTACGATCCGAGTTAGGCAAATTGAAGACATTGCGGTAGATAGCGTGAACATGTTAAAAAGTGAACATATAAAAAACATAATGTGGCTGATAAACTAAGTAAACCATTATATTAAATGCACGGCTCGATGTTATAACCAAGGAGGATAGAGTCCACAGATTTTTACGGAAAGGTTATACTTAACGTAATTCATAAAGATTATTATAGTATATATATATATATATATATATATATATATATATATATATATTAATAGTAAATAGTATGAGGATATTATCATTTCTTTTAAAGCTTCAGGAAAAAATTGACCAAAATATGCAAAAGGTTTTAACAGTAAATCGTTTATAATTCGCCATCGCTATATTTACTTTTAAAAAAACTTTGTATTCAAATAGGAAGAGGTTGTGTGAAGCTTTTGATGCAATAAGTTCGTCCATAGTTCTCCAGCGGTGCACTAAATACGTTCTTTGGAATTTCCTAAGACATAAATTATAAATTACACCGTATTAGGTATATCATGTTCACAAGTCGTGTGTATCGACATAGTTGCAAATACATGCAAAATTGTAATGTAAAGCCATAATTTCAGTGTTCGATAGATATCACGTTGTCGCTTATACCGCTGGAGCGGAAACGTGATCACTTAGCTCTTTTTTCTATGCATTAGTTGGTACTACGAAAAAAGACTGTAGTTTATGGTTTCACTACAATAGGTGATTAACGATTCTTTCATTGTTATAGTTTTGGCTAATGAGTTGTCGATTGCAAAGAGTTTTTACGACTTGAAAACATCCTGTCTTTCGATAATGTAGATTTAGAAACAAAATGATTTTATATGAGCCAAATAGGTTTTTAATTGGATTTGTTAAATGTGAGAGGTGAGATTTTATGCGTAGTAGATCCATCAGACCGTAGTAGAACCCTACGGCTAGATTATGGTTGTGGCACGGCTCGAGCTGGTAAGGATCACGCTCTTAAGAATACCAGCGTAAAATAGCAGCTTAACGCTTTAAAGTATAAAGAACCGAAGAGCTCTTTTATTGCTAACGAGGCATTCTAACTTAGTCCTCAGGGGTCAATGGGCCACAACATTCACTTACCATCAAATGGACTGGTTTTTTTTTTATAGAATAAGGGTAACTGTGGCCCTTAGACATCTACATCTATCTTCGTTTGCGAATTAAAATGCAGATGCGTTGTTAGACGTGAGGACTAAGATTGAATGCCTCTTTTCCAGTAAAATGGGTCTCCGGTTCTCTACACTCACCATACGAAACACAGCAGCATTAAGCTGCTATTTTACGCTGGTATTCTTTGAGAGCGTGGTCCTTCCCCGGTCGAGCCGACCCGTTCGTGCTACGACTATACTATTAATATAGCTGCAGCATGGCTCTACCACGTGCAAAATGTTTGTCAGTCACCCTTATTTTTTAAAAAGGACACTATAATCTTTGAATTGTTCATGTTGTAAAATGTTCAATGCAAACATATCAGCGACCACACTGTAGAAGCACAGCGAGTAGCGAAACCTAATGTGTATTAGATAGGCAACATTAGCTACTATGGTTGTTTATTTTCGTCACATACTGAATGGCATAGATCAGTCTATACGTTTCTTTCCGCAGTGTAATAACAGTCTTATAAATTCAACCACAAGTGTGTAATGCGAAGGAAGTCAATTTCATAACGGATGGTATCCGGAGTGGCCTAATTTGTGTAACAGAGATTAGGAAACAATTTAAAAAAGTTTCGTTAACATGAAGGGTGCAAAAAAATCATCAATGTGGCAACACGGTTACACAAAGATCCACGTGCAAACTTGCAGCGCGGTATCTTACGAAACCGTTTTTGCAAGCGGTCATTTTGTAACTTAGCAACGCGAAACTGGCATGTTACTTATGTTACGTTTCATTTGTTACAGAATCATACTGAGGATCCGTGCGGACAAGGCGTCGTCCGCCGAAACATGGTCGCCGAGTTCATCCTGAGCCAGCAGCAGCTGCTGAGCGCCGGCGGGGGCGCAGTCCTGGGCCCCGCGCCAACGCCTTCCCGCGTACCACCGCCGCCGAGAGCGCGCTTGTCTGTCTCTCCGCACTTCCCGATGGACCAACAGCCCCCATCTAACGGACCACCCGGAGACCCCCACGACTATCCTTCCAACTTTGATTTCAACAAACGGAAAGAGTTCTTCGGCCAACGCAAACAAAGAGAGTTCATCCCTGATAGCAAGAAAGATGACGGTTACTGGGACCGCAGGCGGCGGAATAATGAAGCTGCCAAGCGCTCCCGCGAAAAACGCCGCTTTAATGACATGGTTCTTGAACAACGCGTTGTGGAACTCTCCAAGGAGAACCACGTGTTAAAAGCGCAATTGGACGCAATCAAGGAGAAATACGGCATCTGCGGCGAGACTTTAATCAGCATCGACCAAGTATTGGCGACCTTGCCGACATGTGACCAAGTACTTTGCGTCACCAAGAGGAGTAAACTGTCGAGTAGCGCTTTATTCCCACCAGCGCCGCCACCACCACCACCAGTTCAACCAGCTTCACCGCCATCTCCACCACAACAAAGAGCCCCAGAGCCATACCAAGAGAGGCTCCCGGCCCCTGAAGCATACTACCCACATCCAGCGCACTACGAGCCACCAGGCTCAGTGCTCAACCTCTCACGATCTCGCCGCGCCCTCTCGCCATACGAACTGTCCTCGCTTTCCGGTTCAGGAGACGAGACAACGGAACAGTACGCACCGGAGAACAACTGTCTCCCTCTCAAACTTCGCCACAAAACTCACCTAGGCGATAAAGATGTTGCGAGTGCCCTACTGTCGCTCCAACACATCAAGCAAGAACCTGGGCCGCGCTCGTCGCCCTCCTGGGACGGGGAAGGCTCGAGCGATGAAAGGGATTCCGGCATTTCTCTCGGTGTCGAATACAGGCCGCAGCGACCCGATGACAGGCTGGCTGAGGAGGAAGACGCTCATTTAAAAGCGGAGCTGGCGCGGCTCGCTACCGAAGTGGCGACGTTGAAAAACATGATGCATCAGAACAAGGCGCGTGCGCACGAGCATTGAACGTGGCTCCCGAGCAGCGGATCGCTGTTACCTACGCGTGGACCGCACTTGGCCACATTGCGGCGCTGGCTCGCAGCAACGCGACGTGTCGATCCTCGTACAAACTGTCTGAGCCCCTCCCTCGTAGACGAAGTTACCACGTTGTAAAGAGATGATTTATATTTGTATGATATTGCGCAGCTGAACGCGACGAGATCGCGTCGCCCAACTGTAATCCTTCCTAGTAGTTTTATGTGTCCTGTGTATGTAGTAGAGATGGTAGCGAGACGTCCGCGACGCTCTCCTGTGTATATGAGACTTACTATTCGGTTTGCAGACTTTTCGAGCAGATAAAACTTATCTACTCAGTGATAGATATAAAAAAATGCATTTTTAGTGGTGAGCTATGTATAATGTATATGTTATGTAATAAGTAAGCACAGTAGATCTGTTTCATCTATTCGAAGACTCGATAGTGAAAATCGATGGCTAAAGACTAAGTTTATTCTAAGTGCTAGATGTAAGTCGATCTAAGTAAGCTTAAGTCAAACATAGATTGTTATTTATAAATCCTAATGTATAGTCTTTCTCAATCGGAATGCCCGTTAAGTTCTAAACCAAAAAAAAAAAGAGATAGATCCTCGTTGCTGTCATGAAATCGCAAAATAATTATTGTAAGATTCTGTACATCCTATTGTAATGCAAAAGTATTGAACAGATGAAGTATACCAGTGCCTTTAACAATACATACCTACCTACCTTTAAAATAGCTATTTAATATAATATTTTTGTACATTTGTTAAAAAAATCTTGGCGATTTCACTCACATGAATCCATGTAATAAGTCAACTGACCTCTACCATTTGTTTGCGGCATCTCATCAGTAAAGTGAGTATTTATCGTGAAATCCGTACAAAAAAAAGCGCAAAGCGTTTCAATTTTCCATCATATTTGTACACTTCTAAATGAATATTGTGAAAAGAGAATGCCGTAAAATTTGGTTCAGATTTCTAAAATGTATCACATACTAAGAAGGCTAAATCAGAAGTATTTCAGTTGTAATGTAAGCGTTTATACTCCTTATAATGCCCTAAAGGGCATGTGATAGGACTGAAGGGAGTTATACTAAGTATTTATTTATTCGGACCGAGAAAGAGGATTTTACAATTTATATCTTTGTATAAGAGACACTATACGATGTGAATAAATTGTGTACATTTCAATTAAAACATTATTTTTATTATACCCTCCCAATTTTTCCAAAAAAATTAAATACGCAAAACAAATACATGTTAATTTATTTTGCGTATTTACATTTTCGCTCGAATAATCAATATTAATAAAAAATATATATTTACAAATCGAAGGGCTTCCAAAAATTCAAAAAGTATATTTCTCAGGGATTATATCAACTCGTTACACTAATAATACATATTTTACATTTTAAGAGCAGAGTTAAAATTCACATTTCAAGTTCTATTTTATCTGAATCAAAAGTAATATTTTATAGTTTAAAATATGAAAATTGTAACGATATTTTCGTCTATAAAACATTCTGTACCAATGCTGGGCAACGACCTCGCTCTTAAATATCATAGAGTTAGAGAAAATCACAGAACAAGAACAACTGCTATAAATTCCTATAAACATTTGGATTTGGAGCCGACAGTTTCCTTACAAAACATCTTAGTTGGCACAGCATCCACTGAGAGACGAGCTGCGAGTAGTGCATACGTAAGTAGAATCTAAAATAGCCAAGATACGTAAAATTTATTCAGAAGGGTTAAACAATGTAGGTCACACTGAAAAACAACTTGCGATCTAAAAAGCTTGCTGACGAATTGATTGAACTTTACTACGGCAGATTTACAACTTTACAGACGTCAGTCCACTGAGAAGTTACGCTCAACTATGTACTTCTTTCGTATAAATAGTAAGTAGAACGAAGTCCAGTGTTGACCTAAAATAGATTGGATTCCTGTTTTAACCGAATTAAAGAAAAACAATTCAAAAATAATTTCAACACATTTCAACATTTTTAACGAGTTGAGCAGTCCGGAAAAATCTCTGGTCAAAATTCCAAGTGACCACGAAACTGCACATCATTCGATATGTCGACGCCGAGGATACCGATACTGGCTGAGGCAGCAGCTTTGAAACTGAGGAAAAACGACAAACTGGTTCTTTGTAGCGGTAAACGCGCAAACTTGTGTCTTCTGGGGATTGAACTGGACTAGATTTAGTCGCCCCCAATCCGAGACTTTGTTCAACAAAGACTCTACTTCAGACCCAAGTTTGTTCCGGTACTCGTCGACGTTTTCCCGAGAAATATTAGCACGGCCGGTATATAAAGCATCACCAGTGCTGTCATCTGCATAACAATAAATGTTACCGATTTGCAACACATCATTGATATGCAGAAGAAACAGCATTGCTGATAGCACGCAGCCTTGTGGAACACCAGCATTAATAGGCTTGTAATCTGAGCATTCAGTCTACTTCGACCTTGATGCTCCGTTCTGCAAGAAAACTGGTGATCCAATCGCACAATTTCTCGGGAAGCCCATATGACGGGAGCTTTGAAAGAAGCGCTTTGTGCCAAACCCGATTGAAGGCCTCCGCAACGTCCTAACTAACGGCCAACGCCTCCCCCTTGGACTCTACTGCCTCCGTCTATCTATGAGTTAGGTAGGCTAGAAGATCACCAACTGACCGACCCCGACGGAAACCGTACTGGCCTTCACTAATCAGCTGATGATTCTCAAGGTACCTCATGAGCTGGCAGTTTATTATGGTTGCCATTATTTTGGAGAACAAAGAGGAGATGACGATGGGCTTGTAGTTGGACGGATCTGATCGGTTGCCGTTTTAGATAAAAATACGGTGATCTGTGTATATTTCAACCAGATCATTTGATTGGTGAAATCAATGCGCGTTTTCTGTGCTAGGTAAGGTTCAATTGTTTTTAGGATGACGTTGTCCTATCTTTATATATAAAAATTACGTGTCACATTGTTTGTCTGCGATGAACTCCCTAAACTATTGAACTGATTTCAATGAGTTTTTTTACACTGTGTGCAGTTTGGTCCAACTTGAGATATAGCATACTTTTTATCCACTTAGGTGACCTTCAATATTTTTTTATTGCGAATTTAAGGATTTTTTTAAAGGAAGGGTCATCGGAAAGGGTAGAACAACGTCTGCCTGGCCAGCTAGTAATATTATAAAATGTTATAAAGTACCTACATGGAAAAACATAAAACTAGAATCAAATCCTAGTCTAATTTGAACGTAGTAGTTGATGTTCAAATTGGAAGCAGTCGACTAAATTTGTTTTATGTTCTTCTTCTTCGTCAGTCTGTTCAAGGCAACAGCTGGACTTGGACTTTCCCACTATAGGCAAGATTAGGTTTAATCGTTACGCTTTGAAGGCGACCGCTGTACAAGATGTCGCGCATTACGCTACTCCCCGTCGCGCATCTGGATATTTTCCTTCTGGCGTTAACAAGATATCTATACTGCCATCTTGTGGAAAACGAGATCTCTCTGGCTTTTCCAATAGTCTCCTCTTACAACACCCACGGGTCCAAATACGGAGAAGGACTATCTTACACCGCCACCACCTGGCAAGCTATAATACTTAATTGCAGTATATTTCTCACACCTTTAATTCTAAATAATAGCGAACTATCGGCATTACATATAATCGTTAACTATCGCTTACTTTATTAAATTAGTAATTAACCTGTTTCTTTCTATTGTCATTAACTAAAAAGAGAGAGAGAGCTACATTAGAATTTTTTAAATTGACGTCAAATACATAGAGTCGCTTCGTAAGAGGCGACGAAGGAAACTGAAACAGGGGATAAGCATCTTCTTGATAACAATTTAAAATAATAAAAAACAGCGGTTGCCAACCCACCTGCCAAGCGTGGCAACTATGGCAAAAGCCTATGATACAATCTATGGTAGAGGCCTATGTTCGGCAGTAGACTTTCATAGGCTGTAATGGATGGATGGATAATGAATGAGATGGTCATAAACATCCTACTGAGCCATTATAATATAAAGCTATATCATAATAATGGTCATACAGAATAAAGCTTACATGAAGGTGTGCCTATGTTTATTCCAAAATACGTGCTAAAATGCATACGTGGTAGAACTACGCTGCAGCTATCTCGTATGGTTGTAGCACAAATGGGTTGTCTTGACCGGGGCGGACCACGCTCACAGAATACCAGCGTAGAGTCTACACACACAGCATGAGTGTAGAGAAACGGAGACTAAAAATATATTGTAGGCGATACTACTACATTCTAATGAAGGTTAATATTGGCATGAGAATATCATCATCATCATTGCAGCCCTTCACAAATCCACTGCTGAACATAGACTTCCCCCAGGGAATGCCACAAAGCACAGTCCTGAGCCACCTACATCCATCGACTTCCTGCATGTCTTACCAGGTTGTCACTCCATCTAGTGGGCGTTTCCCCTACACTTCTCCTACCGGTACGAGGCTGCCACTCGAGAACCTTTTTTCCCATCGGTTGTCGGTTCTTCGAGCTATATGGCTGGCCCATTGCCGAAGATATAAAACAACAAAAATACTTAATCCCTTATTAATAAGATATTCTCGTAAGTTCAAAAATATTCTGTTCTTATTTTATTTTCATAAAATAGTATCAGGTGAAGTGTTAGCTTGTTTTTCACTTTAATATTGTAAAACAAATGCTGGCTTAATTTACATACTTTTAGATTTGTGTAATGGATATACACACTACATGCTGTCTCTATCATTGCAGCCGAGCCTTCATAGATGAGAACGCGAAACGCCTTTCATGTTTTCTCTAACGTGACATTTGAAGAATAAATTGCATAGTAGATATTTGCAGTAAAGTCTTGGACTACAGAGCTAAACTTTCGCCGCAAATTTATTGACTCCAAGGATCATTCGACTTGGCTTGCAATCGGAGTAGACGAAGAAGTCACAACCGCGTGGCCTAGTAGTCGGACAAACATGAAGTTGCATACAAACTTATAGTCACCTATGAAGACACTTATGTTTTATAAAAAAACAATTACATTTGCTGTTAACTTCCATACTTTACATTTTTTGCATATATTTACATGTTCCACGGAACGTCGCTATTAGAACAGTCTCTATGTCAAACCTGAAACTAGTTTTTGTTATGATAATTGTAATTAGCGATATATAATTGTAAAAAGCGACTCTACTTCTACATACATTTTTTGAAAAACCTATTACCAGTAATGGACTTAAAAATAATGATATAACAAGAAAGAGAGAGAAAGGGAATGATTAAATGCTTTGATCATCATCCTTTATCCGTTTATAATTCTTCTTTTGGTTAAAGGTCTTAAATAAACAATACTCTAATGTTCGGATCCCAATTTCTGAAGACCGTACGCATGTCGTAGCTACATAAATACGGTACATTCACATAACGCGTGTATTTCTGTCAGATGACCCGGTTACCCACCGATTACGTACTCGGCTCAGGTATTCCGGCAGTGCCTCACAAACAGGTAAACAAAAATGTAACGACGATATTTTATTGAATCATCATTACCTACACTATACGAAAAGTCGCGCTCTTATTCGTGTCATTGTATCTTTTTTCTTTTAAATGTTGGTAATTGGTCGTGGTGAATACTAGAGCGTTATTTTATTTTTATCAAAAAAAAAGTTTTAATTTACATTTTCAACGAAAAATCGTACTATTTTCCAGATTATAGTTTGCCAAACTGTATAATATTATGTCAGCAGAAAAAAGCAGGCAGAATAGTAGTAGGTACTGGAAGTTATACATAATTTCATGTTAGATATTATGGTATTAATTTCTAACTTATATATTATGTATTATCATCATCATCATTACAGCCCTTCACAAGTCCACTGATGAACATAGGCCCCCCCAAGGAATGCCACAAAGCACGGTCCTGAGCCACCTGCATCAATCGCCTTCCTGCATGTCTTACCAGGTCGTCACCCCTTATGTATTATATCCTTATCTATTATATATATTATCTATTACTACCTTGAGACGCATCTGCATTTATATACTTAATTGAAGATCCGAATCCGCTCCAATCCGAAAAGAAGACAGAATCCACTTAACATCGGGTGGAATGTGTGAACCACTTCTTCTATCTATCTTAAAAAATATCGAACTATTACGTTCTCTTGTGTTAAATAAGTTCCATAATGTAAGTCTTTTCTAGTCGTTCGTAATCCCTGAAATATGTATGCATTGGACGTTGTAAGAAAACATTGCGTAATGAATTTAATCTTTATTTTCTGACAGGTATATGTATATAATGATATAAGCAAAATATTTACGTCTAGCTGGGCCAGACGGATCACACATAAATGCATTTTATATACGTATTTAGTTATCATAGAGTACAGTCCATTGTCAAGCCAAAATATGTTTTCACGAAAAATATTAAACAAGATTGAATTTTTCAAGAATATTCGAAACTTTTCTCTGAATGCTAAACGGAAAAAATGTTACCCTAGTTTTTTAAGTCGGTTACACATCATATTTATATATTATGAATAATAAAATCTAATTTTACGTAAAATCGAATTCCGAAAAATGTAATTCAAACTACAAGATTTTTTTGCCAACTGTACAGTTATAATGATAGGCCTCTTTTAATATTATATACATATATATCATTGAATGATAGGCATGTTTAAACATTCGCGTAAGATGCGATACGACTAGGATAGCAGGAAAAATTATTATACATCACATTTAGAAGAGCGTTGAGATGTTCAAATCAGCCTCTTAGTAGGTAGTAATGAAATAAGGTATTTAATAAATCCAAGAGAACCACCTCCGAGAGCAAACAATCACTTAAAAATAGATATGAGTCAAAAGACTTATTAAATAAGATCGCTAGTCAAGTACTTAAGTACTTGACTAGCATTTGTGCATTTTTATTTTACCATAGGTATACCGAACCGTTTAAGATGTCCTTTAAGAGAGACCTTTAGAAACATGTGAACACTAAATATTTTATATTATGCAATAAAAGGTAGTAAAATAATGAAGGTAAGTCATAAGTAATGCAACATTTTTTTTGCAATAAAGGTGCATTAAATGTAAATGTATACGAAACATAGCGTTACACACCAAAATTAATACTTATACTTGTGCATATTTTTTAAATTGTTTTACAATTTTACATCTACACAATGATTATGTTAAAATATAATATTATTTAGCACATTAAACGTGACATTTAATAACAATTTAATCGTTTTACGATTAGAGTATTAACTATACAAGATATTTTAATCAATAGTAGGTATATAATTCAAGCTCGGACCAACAAAGTAAGGCAGACGGAGCGCTGCGTTCATTTCAAGTCACACAAAAACCAAGCCAAAACCATGTAGAACTTAACTGCATAAACACGCAATAACGTACATATATGCAACTAAAATCATTTGTAACCAACAGCATGGTTGGGTGCTAATGTGTACGTCCGGCAGTGAACTTTAACGGGCTGATAAAGAAGGAAAGATAAAGATGTGTGTGTGAATCAAGAAATTGAGAATGGTTTCAGTATCACTTGATATGTACGCTGCACTCCGTCTATCCTTCTCTATTAGTCTGAGAATTCAAAGTAAGATGATAATAGAAACCATTAAAATATTTTAAATACTTTCATATTTACAGCTATTAAGAAAACTTAAAGGGTCAATACAAAAAAAAAACATCAATAAATTACAGGTTAAAAAACAGGTCTATAATTTAAAATATTATTTACACAAAATTAAGAACTACAAAGCGTGTATTAAACAATAAGCCCCTGTATTATATAAAAAATTATGGATCAGTAGCTACTTTGATTACACTTCCTTCACCGATTAAAGACTAAATCTACATTTTAATAAGTTCCATTTTAAAAATGTTTTCTACAATATATACGTAAGAAATAAAGAAATGTTATTTTAATTTCTTAAAGAAATAAGAATAAAATCTATTAAATATTTATGTGTTTTTTTTTAATATCATAATTCCTTAAACACACACTTTTATTCACATCTACTCTTTTAAGGTACAACTCGCGCGATTTCATCAATGATACTAATGTACATACACAAACACAAATACAATTACATTTTTAAATACATTAGCAAATATCTAATAATGATAAAAGGATATTACGATAACTCATCGATTTTTAAATGGCATTTAGATGGTTACATGATTTGAGGGATAACCCCTGCACTACTAGCCAGGCATTTGCGTTCAGGTTAGGGTCAAGAATTTGAAAAAAGAATTTTATTTTCCTCTTCCTAAACAACATTTTTAATCATCTGTACTAATTTTGAAATTAATACGGCGATATTAAATTCTAAGCATATCGATAATAATAATAACAATTTAATGTTTAAGATCTCCTTTCTAAAATTAAAGGTAATTGAAAAGAATTATTTATAAAGACAAAACGGTGATTTTGTAGGACTAATCATTTTAACAGTTTCCCTGTCCGCGAAACAGATACAATAGTTAAACAATTGAAATTACAATATTTCATGGGACAGGGAAAGGGTTAAGTACGTTTTATATTTACTATCTAACAATGATTTCTATCGATTTTTAGACACGTTATGTAACATACGGACTAATTTTTATACGAAATTTATCACAAGCTTTCTTGAACGTATAATCAAGCTTTTATAACACCTATGAAACGTCCATTAATGACGATAATCCAAAACGGAGTAAATGTCTCACTGCCCAAAAGATCCACGTTGTGTTCTATCCCACTTTCGCGTATGTATTACTTCACTGTATGAGAACGGGACCGCAGACCACTCGGGCAGTGGGCTGTATTTCATTCAGTGGTTAGGGTGGGGACCATTTCGCCGCAGCTAAGCGGATGCGTGGACTGCAGAATGGACTGAGATGCTAGAGGGGCTCGGAGCTTAGCAGAGCTCAGCTCATTACTCTGAACCCAGAGCTCCAACTGGAATATAATTTGTTAATCATTTTTTAATATTTCATGCGGTAGAACAAATAATGTTCTTATTGTAAACTTTAATTATTTTAAATCATGATATATTAATTTTATTAGACAGTGTAGTGGCGGTGTAAGAATATCCACGACCGCCGTTTCGTTCCGTGGGTGTCGTAAGAGGTGATTGAAGGAAAACGCCAGGAGATGGCAGTAGTGTCTTCATAATAAGAACAACATAAAAACTGTATTTGCCAACCCGCCCGCCAAGCGTTAAAACTATGGCATATCCCCATACCCCCTACCTATAAGGCAATCCATGGGGAAGGCTTATGTTCTGCAGTGGATTATTTATAAGCTATAACGGCAACGGTTTACATAATTCTTTTTAGTAAAAACAAAATTGATGCTGTAGAAATGCTGATGTTTGAGATATTTTGACTAGGGCTAAGAAAGAAATTATTTGGTGTTTTTTTTTTAATAGGATAAGGGTGACAAACGAGTACACAGTCCACCTGATGGTGAGTGGTTTGCTACAGTCCATAAATATCTATCCTCGTTTGACAACCGAAATGCAGATGCGTTGTCAGCCGTCAATAACAAGATTGAATTCCTATTTTCCAGTAAAAAGTGTCGCCGGTTCTCTACACTCCGCATATGAAACACAGCAGCAAAGCATAAAGCAAATACATGCTGCAGAAGTGAGTGGCAGAGTCGGCAAAAAACGTAACGGTTACCGGTTAACGGACCAAATTTGCGATGTATGGAAAATGTGTCAAATTCCGAGTACCCTTAAACGAAGACCCTTAAACGAAGATCATGTATGCGTATATACATAATATATGGATGTGAAAGAAGCGAGAGAGGTTTTTTTATAGAATAAGGGTGGCAAACAAGCACATAGTCCACCTGATGGTAATTGGATGCTGTGGTGCATAGACATCTACATCTATCCTCGATTAAAAATCAAAATGCGGATGCGTTGCCACCGCTGAGGATTTGACGGAATGCCTTATTTAAGTAAAAAAGGTCTCCGGTTCCCTAAACTTACCATACACCAGTGGTAAATAAATATATTTGTACAACCGACTTCAATATAAAGAAAATGAGAACATCATCAATGTACTCGAAATCAATATTTATGTGTATTTAGCATTAGTATGGATAACTCAAAACTTATTGGTCAGATCTTGATCAAATTTATATGAGACCATCAGCTTTCACATAAAAAAAGAATAGTCAAAATCAATTCACCTAGTAAAAAGTTCTGAGACAACACACATAAAAATACAATCGAATTGAGAACCTCCTCCGTTTTTTGAAGTCAGTTTAAGATACAGCAGCATTAAGCTGCTATTTAACGCTGGTATTCTGTGAGAGCGTGGTCGATTCGTGCTACAACCAGAATATAGCGGCAGCATGGCTCTATCACGTAAATGAGTGTGTCAGGATAGTGTCAATTTGAAGTCTATGCTTACTACCTTTGTGCGTGACAAACGTGAGAGTCTATGAATAACGTACCTCACATAAGGTTATTATACAGGCTCCCTATACCCTTCAAACTGAGACACATCGGCGGATGTGCTGCTGCTAACCTAATAAATGTCTTGATAATTCTAATGTATTTTTTTTTCTTCGGTACAGTGTATTTTTTAGAAAGAAAAAGGTAAGTAAATACCCATAGACACCCATTCTATCCTCGGTTAAGAATCAAAATACAGATGTGTTGATAACCCTGAGGACTAATATGGAATGTCACATTACAAGTTATGAGTATCTCAGGTGCTTTTCAAATGATATGCAAAACGCAACGACTGTTTAATTATGTGGGAGTATAGGACCATACTCCCACATAGTCCCCGGTTGAACCGAAACTTTATTATTTTTAAAAAGCACTAATACGTGAAGAAAAAACTTTGCACCCCTTTTGATGTATATTACGCGCAAAAAGTAGTGTGAGATTTGGCAAAGGAGCTTATATGAAGAAGAAGTACAAGAAGCTAAAATTTATATATATATTTTAAGAGTGGTAGAGCCACGCGGCAGCTTTTGCTGTCACACGGATGGGCCGGCTCGAACCGGGGTAGTATCACGACCTCACAGAAAACCAGCGTGAAGTAGAGGTTTACCTCTGCGTTTCGCTTGGTAAGTGCAGGTGGCCGGAGGCCCTTTTTACTTGAAAAGAGGCATTCCATCTTAGTCCTCACGGGTGACAACGCATCTACATTTTGATTTGTAATAGAGGATAGATGTAGATGTCTATGGGCCTTAGCAACCACTTACCATCAGGTGGACTGTGTGCTCGTTTGTCACCCTATCCTATAAAAAAATATAATATCTGTTACAAAAACAATAAATTAAATTAAACAACACATAAAATAAATGAAACATATAATACAAACTGCCACACAGAGTGACGATTGTCGCCATAGATTTATATATTAATGCTACCCCTGGCTTTAAGGTGTTTTCTTACGTAGAGCCATGCTGCAGCTATATTATGGTTGTAGCAAGAATGGGTCTACTCGACCGGAAAAGGACCACGCTCACACAGAATACCAGCGTAAAATAGCAGCTTAACGCTGCTGTGTTTCGTATGGTGAGTGTAGAGAACCGGAGACCTTTTTTACTAGAAACGAGGCATTCCATCTTAGTCCTCACGGGTGACAACGCATCTGCATTTTGATTCGTAATCGAAGATAGATGTAGATGTCTATGGGCCACAGCATCCACTCACCATCAGGTGGACTGTGTGCTCGTTTGTCACCCTTATCCTATATACAAAAGCTCTTTTTTTTAATAAACAAATAAATTATTTTAAAATGTAACCTGTGTACATAGTTACCTCGGGCGGCATCTTGGCGGGCGGCGGGCTGCAGGCGCCTGCGCAGTGCAACTGCAGCAGCAGCTCGGCGATGGCAGCGGCCGACGTGTCGATGACCCGCTGCCGGCACACCGCCACCGCGTGCACGAACCCGCCGGGGCCCACAAACTCGTGCTCCATGAACACCGTCTTCTCGTCCCAGTACACCGCCTCCAAAGGAACCAACGCGATGCGATAACCTTTACAACTTATGTTGTCCTGGTCGGTACCGACTGAGACAATATGGAATGCCTCGTCACCAGTAAGAACTAACGCGATGCGGTAGCGCATATAACTTATGTGGTCCTGGTCAGTACTGACTGAGACTACTCCGACTCGGTACCAGTGGCAGTATAAAGGGTATCCGGTTCTTGATACTAACCATGCGAAATATCAGACAAATAAAGAAAGAAAGACGGAGCGCTGCGTACATTTTGAGTGACGCAAAACCATGCGAAAACTATACCCAATTTATTGTAAAAACAAACCCACTTACGTACGCATTCACCACCATTACACAATTACAGCTATAAAATAAACAAAATATAATACATTTTCATATATAACAAAATCCCAAATTTTGTAAAAGATCAACCCATTAGAATATTTAAAAAGAGTCTTACTTCTTTGTTATTGGAAAAATGCTATTACTCCGTATCGGACTTCTTAAATGATACCAATATTTAAATAACGTTTCAGTTAATTAATTGTTTATAATATGTCGTTCGTATTAATAATTTATAATGTGTTATGCTAACTGCAATAAAATTTCAACAATATAAATTTATGTAATAATAATAATGCAATACTTTGAATTATAATAATGTAATAACTATTTTATACTCATAATTATAATTTAAAATCTATTTATAATTAATTACTTCTGTTATATAGAAATAAATTTAATATTTGCATGCCAAAATGATAGAATGTACGGATCTACTATGTACTCTGTCAACACCTTATAGTTAATACCTACATTCAATGCAAATAAATCAATATTCTATTCTATTCTATTCTATAAAAGTTTACTGCTGGAAAAACGCCTCCCCCATAGAGATAGCTTCATAGGGGGGATTTAGCCTTAGTTGCCACGCTTGGCAGACGGCTTAGCAACCCCGCCACATACCGCCCGGTTCGTACTCATATTTTCCATCAAAAATAATTTACAGCCAACAACATAGTTTTAGTTAAAGGAAAGAAAGAAAAAAGATGTGTGTGTGCGTGCGTGTCAATAAATATGACCTATAATTTATGTTTACTCGACTGGGCCAAGCTCAAATGTAGAATTGCATTTTTGGCTGGTTTGAAAAATAGCATGGCTGCCGAAAGATAGATGGATAACCATCTAATATAATCTAACTTAACCTGAAATATTCATACTAAGAACCAGGGATGCTATGGAGCTCTGTAAAACTATCGGATATCCGTAATAAAAAAAAACTATCCGTAACCGTTGCCAAATCCGATATAAAAGTTTCGGATAGTTTCGGATAGGGACGGAGTCTAAATGAGACTATGTTATGCTCAGATTTTAGTTTTTAATCTTCAATATGCAAAGACTTAGGAAGACTGATTGATGTGTTGTAATAGTTCCTAGAAGTATACTAAAGAATATAATAGAAAAAAAAACGAATAGCATTGTTTTGACTAAAATCATTTTGTTATAGCATTTTTAAGTAGATAACTTACAAAAATGTGTAGAGTAGCTACAAATGATAACCTGGAAATAAAACCAAATGATTACCTACTTATTTATATTTTACTTTTCCTCAAAAATCTAATCCGATCCGAAACTATCGGATAACTAACGGATCCGAAATAATTTTATATCCGTAACCGATATAATATTATTTCCATATCCGTATCCGTATCCATATCCGAAATGTCATATCCGTAACATACCCTGCTAAGAAAAGGCGCGGTGAAATGAGAGACGTCTGGTACTGCGCTCGACAATCAGACAGCCCAGCATGACGATAATAGTAAATCGATCTTCAGAAAGCTAATAACGCTGAACTCTTAAGCCGGTATTCAGAAACAAGATTGTTTGACTCTAGATAGAGTTTAAACTTAAACTCCATTAGTGTAACACACTTAATATATTCTAAATTCAATTTTTAAATTGTGCAGTAGTTTTTTCTTTATGAAACTGAATTGGCAAAGGAACTTACAATCCACCTGGTGGAAAGTGGCGACAGCAGTCCACGGACACATGCAACCACCTTTACACAAAAAGGTTATAGACGCGTTGTTACCTCTGAGGACTAAGATGGAATGCCTCAACCTGTAATTACACTGGCTCTAAAAAATATATACAAAATTTGACCTGCTCAAAGTTCAAAAACTTTATTAATCTAAGTTTGTATAAAAAAGTTTATTAACATATTAAGGAATTTATGGATGATAATAACCCCCGGAAATAAGGTGATCGCTACCAAGCTATTTCTAATTTGTTTTGTGTGGTTAATTGTGTAACATACATGATTGTAGGCTGTTGTTTAAAAAAAATTCCCGCTGGGTTTTTTGCTGGTTCTTCCCAGGACAGAGGATTTTTTTCGAACCAGTAGTAATTAAACAAAAGAGTGACTTTCAATAAGTATTATTTATAATCTATATTGAATAAAAAAGTTTCTGTTTCTGTCTCTCTATCCTTCAGACCGCACTGTAATACTGTTATTGTATGTAATACCGCACTGTTATTTGGCGGCAGAGACGGGTAAGGGATTGGTACCTACCAAAATGGACTCCCAAGCAGTGAAGCAGTCCTTCCACCTAGTATTGTTTTAGTTTGGATTTAAGATTCTTACGTGGTAGAGCCATATTGCAGTTATATTATGGTTGTAGCACGAAAGTTCGACCGGGGTAGGACCACGCTCTTACAGAATACCAACGTAAAATAGCAGCTTAATGTTGTGTTTCATATGGTGAATGTCTCTACACCTTACGAAACCGAAACGTGGCATTCCGTCTTAGTCCTCAGGGGTGACAACGGACCTGCATTTCGATTCTTAATCGAGGATAAATGTAGATCTCTATGGGTCACAGTATCCACTTACCATCAGGTGGACTGTGTGGTCGTTTGTCACCATCATTCTATAAAAAAAGCACAAGATTGTCTCTGAATACCGACCTATCTCCTAAAAACTCACCCTCGACGTAATCTTAAAGCGAGTGAAAGGTTTCAGGTATCGCCTGTAGCGTATGGTCGCTGCAGCCTGCACTACCGCACCGCCCGCCGCTTTGATATTGGCATACAGCCCCGTCCGCTCGTAGAAATCCGCCCGAGCGAAGTCCAGCTCGCGGAGATACCGGGCGTTGTTCATATGGTAGAGAAGCGTGTCTATGTCGTTGAGGAGACACCACGCTGGAATAACAAATTAATCATCATTCATTTTAAATTAATTTGACATTACAAGTCAACTGCTGAATAGGTCTCTGCCAAGGAATGCCACAAAGCACGGTCCGGAGCTACCTGCATCCATCGACTTCCTGCATCTCTTATCAGGTCGTAACTCCATCTAGTGGCTGGTCAAAAAGAAAGCCATTAAAACTAAATTAGCTAAATATATTGCTAAAGATTTCTTCATCAACCTGTATAGGATTTGATTTTATCGTCACGTGGCAGGCAGATAGACGAGCGTAATACAAGATCACTCATTTGATGAGGAGTTTTTGGCGGGAACTTGACCGGCGACGGATTGCTGCTCCTGTATTATTGTTTCAATAATAGTTTGAAGTGGATTTTGATATTGCTGAACAAAGTCTCGGATTGGGGGCGACTAAATCTAGTCCAGTTTAATCCTCAGAAGACACAAGTTTGCGCGTTTACCGCTAAAAAGAACCCCTTTGTCGTATCTCCTCAGTTTCAAGGCACTGCCCTTCTTGCCTCAGCCAGTATCGGTATCCTCGGAGTCGACATATTGAGTGACGTGCAGTTTCGTGGTCACTTGGAAGAGAAGGCCAAATTGGCCTCTAAAAAGCTTGGCGTACTCAGCAGAGCGGGACAGTATTTCATGCCAGTACACCGCCTGCAACTTTACAAGGCGCAGGTTCAGCCTCACATGGAATACTGTTCCCATCTCTGGGCAGGGGCTCCCCAGTGCCAGCTCCTTCCACTTGACTGCATCCAGCACAGAGCGGCTCGAATCGTCGACGACCGAGCCCTTTCCGATCGGCTCGATTCATTGGCACTGCGAAGAGATGTTGCATCCCTTTGCATTTTCTTTCGCATCTACCATGGGGAGTGCTCTGAGGAATTGTTCGGATTAATCCCAGCCGCCAAATTTCACGAACGCACATCGCGGCAGAACTCCCGATATCATCCACACCATCTGGATGATTGGCGGTCCACCACTGTGCGATTTAGAAGATGTTTTCTTCCTCGCACGACTTTCTTGTGGAATTGATTACCATCAGCGATTTTTCCGGACCGATACGACTTAGGGACCTTCAAGAAAAGAGCGTACTCCTTTTTAAAAGGCCAGCAACGCATCTGCAATTCCCTCCCTGGTATTGCAGTTGTTCATGGGCGGCGGTAGTCACTTACCATCAGGTGAGCCGCATGCTCGTTTGCCCCCTTCCTATAAAAAAAAATATAAAAGTGGTGCGATTTTGTGTATTAAATGTCTACGCATGTGAACTATTAGTGGAAACGATGAAACAAGTGCTCTGATAGTGATGTGATTCTCAAGATAAGGTGTCTGTTTGCATAGGTGCCTTGAGATACCGTCGCCAACTGTCAGCTGTCTGCTGGCCCAAGTTGCTGTCAAAATCTCCCAAGGGCTGCACAATGTGACGCATTCAACATATTGTGAAGCAATGTACTATGAAGGATAATTATACATTGTAACTTCAGGCTCAGAAGGGCTAGAACCCAGAGCTGTAAAGCCAGTTATTAAGAAAGAAATCATTTGATGATGGGGAGCACCGCTGCTCCTCATCATCGATCTAAGTATTTTACAGCAGTTATAAACAAGATAGTTATACCGCTATATATCAGAAAACTCATGATCTTTTTAACACAATCTAAAGTCGATTGTCGACTCGACCAAGGAAGGACCACGCTCTCACAGAATACAAGCGTAAAATACAGCTCAATACTGCAGTGTTTCATATGGTAAGTGTAGAGAACCGGAGACCCTTTTTATTGGAAAGACTTTTACTTTAACTCAGGGGTGGCAACGGATCTGCATTTTGATTCTTAATCGAAGATAGATGTCTATGGGCCACAGCATCCACTTACCATCAGGCGGACTGTGTGCTAGTTCGTCACCCTATTTTATAAAAAAAAATTAATGTATGTCTTTAATATCATATTAACTGCCTGTTATTGAGCTAACAGGAGAGAAACATTTTTAAAGTTTTGTTTATCTGTATATCGAAAATCGAAATGGCTGAACCGATTGTAATGAAACTTCCGTAATCTAAGATATTATCAGAAAAACTTGCTTTTTTTATAAATCGAAAAATTGATAAAGTAAATGGTCTTTGATGATCGTTCTTAATCTAAATAATTCCAGGTAAATAGATCTTACCCAGGCGAAACCAGGGCGTGTCTGGGTAAGATATATTATAGATATATTACAACTTAAAATAAAAACGTAGAATGTGGAAACTTACATTGCACTTCGGTAGTCTCCAAGATGCAAGCCTTTTTCCTGAAGTAACGCGCCCGGGCAACTGTATACATCATTCGTGCGAAGTAAGCTATGTCCAGGGTTCCGTACAGCAGGAGCATGCTGGCGACCATCGCCGCTCCCCAGCCGGGCAGACACACCGACCACATTGTGACTGCAGTACATATATTTATACAGTAGGTACAAGCTGAATTTTCCAAACTACTTTCTTAGTGGCCGTCAAGGTCGAGAAAAGAATATAGTTTTGGAGATCTCGTGATGAGTATTTCCCTTTTTGTAATTGTATATTATATGTAGATAATATACAATTGAAAATTGAATTTAAATGGTGTCCTAGACCTAAACCAAAATGGCGCCTTTTTTTAATAAATCTACTCATGAAATACCCTCGAATCATGCGCAGTGCTGTGTTCCGGTCCGAAGGGTATAGAGCCTGTATAATAGTTATTCTATTTCACGATGAAGTTTTGACTTTGGTTGTTGTTAGCCGTGCACATACACATTGTGTTAGTGTGCGTAGGCTGCGGGCGCTCGGGAGTAGCGCTCCCGAGGCGTACGCACACTAACACAATGTGTATGTGCACGGCTAACAACAACCAAAGTCAAAATTTCATCATGTAATAGAATAACTAATAATTATATACAGGCTGTGAGGCATCCCATCTTAGTCCTCAAATGTGACAACCAGGGGCGTACCTACCGCCGTATCAGCCGTATCAATGATAATCACTGTTCACGTTCCACTTCAACTTTATAAAAAAAGAGTGAAGATCGTAAATCGTCATGGATTTACAACTACAAGCATGTAGAATGTGTGTAATTGAACGCTTCATATAATTGTAAACAATGAAACGATATGAATCAGAAAATACCTGACTTTTATTTAATTAAAATGACTATAAACAAATTAAGATTACTATAATACATTATAATCAAAATAAATTGAAAATCTTAATAAACCACCAATCAAAAACCTATCAATGCGTAGACGGTTTTACTGTTCATAGGTCTACGGGTAAATTATAAAGGCAATTGTTGTAATCTATGAAAAAGGTATTTAATTTAAGCAGGCGCTTGTAATAAGATGTTGAATTATTTCATATTTATTATTTTGTAAGTTTTATAGACAATATATTTAGTATCTAATTAACCGAAAAACTTAAATATGAAAAGTTTCAATACTATCGACCTCCGGAGCATGTTGGCACCCGTTAAGACCGTATTTTATCGGCGAAGCTGACAACCCCAGACATCGATTGTATCAAACTTGGCCCCCTTTTCATAATTACGATTTCTTCACACAGTCCACCTGATGGTAAGTGATTGCTGAGGCCCATAGACATCTACATCTCTCCTCGTTTTCTAATCAAAATTCAGATGTATTGTCAGACTTGAGGACTAAGATGGAATGCCTCTTTTCCAGTAAAAAGGGTCTCCGGTTCTCTACACTCACCATACGAAACACAGTAGCATTAAGCTGCTATTTTACGCTGGTTTTATGGTATTATGTGACTTTACCCGGTCGAGGCGACCCATTAGTGCTACAATTATAATCCTGCAGCATGCCTCTACCACATAAATGTGGATTGATTTAGTTTTTTTAGGCAATATAGTGCTTAAGTACTTCGTTTCGTTGTGTATTTTAGAATACGTATTGTATCGTACGCCATTGTAATATACCGTAACAGCCTATTAAAGTCATATCAAAATTCACTGCTGAACATAGGCCTCCCCAATAGATTGCCTCATAGGGGGGATATTAGCCAGAGTTGCCACGCTTCGCAAGCGGGTTGGCAACCGCAGATTTTTATTTTTAGTCGTTATTAGGAAGACTCTGCTGCCCATCTCCTGATTTGTTTCCCTCAGTCGCCTCTTACGACACACCTACGGTATAATATGGAGTGGTAGATATTCTCACACTGCCACTACCGTACGTACCGTACGTGATGTAATTGATCAACAAAAAGCACCTGCATTTTTATAGCAATATTTTTTTTTTCTTTTAACAACGTAACCTCCACACTAGGATTTTCTCCTGTATCGTGAGGGAGTTTACAAACATAAATTGCACATGGACAAACATCCAGACCTCTAACAATTATTTGTAGGTCATACAAATACTTGTTCCGTGCGGGATTCGAACCAGCGGCCCTTAGCGCTGCAACTGAATTGCTAAACCACTGCGCCACGGAGCCGTCAAGAAAGAATATAGGAAGACATGGTATATTGTAAACAAATACATATATTATTATTGTATAAATATACAGTGTAGTGGCGGTGTAAGAATATTGTTATCCACAAGAGGCGACAGGGAAACAAAAAGATGGCAGCAGAGTCTTACTTACAATAGCTAGAAAATAAGAAACTGCAGCTGCCAACCCTCCTGCTGAGCGTGACATCTATAGCAAATATCCCTCACACGAGTCTGTGGGAAGGACTACGTGCAGGAGTGGACTTTGATAGGATGTAAAGATGATGGTAAATATATATTTTTTTAAATAAAAAAAATTAAATGAGGAAACTCTCGACTCGACATTAAAGTTCAAGTCTATAGACTGAGTGTCAAATTGTGTACCTACTAAAGTCCGATTCACACATACCAGTGAAGTCACAGTTCCGGCACAGTACCGCCACCGTGATGAGTATTCTGTCAATTATTCTCTATAAACTCGTCTACATCTGTCAGTGTCAGTGACGACAGAGTACTCTCAGCGTATGTATGTAATTACTCTAAGGCTCTCAGTCACAGTCAGGCGTAGGACAGTTGCCTTAGACCACAAAACTTCAATAGATGGTGGTGCCACCCATAAATCATGTTTATATATTACTATATACCCTATTTGTAGTACTTATTGAAACTAAGTATTTTACCTACTTTTAATATTAAAGGTATAAATTAGTATAACAAAAAAGTAGGACCTGTTTCAGTATATAAGTATACGAATTAAAGAATATAATAGTTTAAATATGATGTATATAATATATATAGTGAATTAGTTCGGATACAATTTGTAGGAGGCGCTAGTAATTCAATTTTGTCTGCAATAAAATATCGTCAGAGGGCTCTCTTTTCCTGTATATACTTGTTGTACTCTTTAGTCACAGTGCTGGCGCCGGCAATCAAGGATGGCAATCGGCGACGACGAATGTTTTTGTAGGATCACGGCCGCCTTCCTCCAACAAATCATGTTTCATCATTTATTTTCGTTGATGTAACTGCTGTTAGCCTATGCGGCTCTTACAGCTTCATCTGACACAGGACTCGCGGCCTGAAAGGCCTAGACCAAAGATACATGTCTCCAACAAGTATCTCCACGTTGTCTTCCCCACAGGCTTAGACTCATATGAGGGATATTTGCTATAGATGTCACGCTCAGCAGGACGGTTGGCAACCGCAGTATCTTATTTTCTAGCTATTGTAAGAAAGACTCTGCTGCCATTTTTTAGTCTCCAACAAGTATGAAGATACTTGTCTCCAACAAGTATATCTCTTTACTAATTTTCTTCTTAGATTCTGCAGAAGAATACTGAAACAGTTTTCTGACATTTTAAATAGGTATTCAAAATATTTCCTTTCATCTTTAATTAATTCTTTGTATAATTCATGAAGTCTCCTTCTGTTTCTTTTAATTGCCAAGCTTCGTGCACCTATTTCCAATTTTTCCTTGATGCTGCTCTTCTTCTTCGTCTAAATCAATCGCTGTCGTTGCTAGTTCCGTATTATTAAACAGAGGCATATAGTACCGTGTAGAGGCGGTGTAGGAATATCTACTATCCCATACTAACCCGTGGAAACTGAAACAGGAGACGGGCAGCAGCGTCTTCCTAATAACAACTCAAAATAATAAAAAGCGGCTGCCAAGTGCCAACCCACATGCCAAGCATGACATCTATGGAAATATCCACCCAATGAGACAATCTTTGCGGAAGACCTATGTTCTGCACTGGACTTATATAGGCTGTTACGAAGAACAGAGCCATAGCAACAATCACTATTATTCCAGTACGTCGCACACGTTTTGCCTGAATATCTGTAGCCTGAGTACTGACATGTGTGGCTTGAAGCACTGCCCCATCACTGTAGCACTGATGCCTGTGCGGATACGTTGCCGGAACTGTGACTTCACTTATATGTGTGAATCGGCCATAAGACGACACGACACCGAGTTAAACTTGTAGGTAATTTCATCTGACGTTTGGTGCTGCTGACAATAATGTCGACATTTACATCGAGTTTCATGTCGTCCAGTATCTTTACTATAAAATTACGTAATGATAAGCCTACTTGTAGGCTAAGTAATTTCCTATTCTGAAGGCATTGCAAAAACAAACTGTTAAACGTACAGTTCAAGTAATTTTATATTAAAACCATTAGTGTAGTGTTTTCATTAGTGTAATCCACTACCCCACATCGTCCCGTGGGTGTCGTAAGAGGCGACAAAGAGAACTGATACAGGAGATGAGTAGCATGATCTTCCTGATAAAACTCGAACTAATAAAAGAACTGTAGTTGCCAACCCATTTGCCACGTGGCAATAATGGCAAAATCTGGGTGATTATTTATTTTTCATTATCTACGAAACTTAATAAATAGTAATTATGATGAGATTTGGTTTTTCAGAAAAATCAGACCGATACGACAACGTCTCTAAATTATATTCAGAAAACCCTGTTATCAGAGCTAAGCAACTTATTTAAAGTTGAAAAAAATAACGGCAAGTACTCTCAAAACTTCCAAGAATATAGCGGACATAATATTATGTCCAGCTGTTTATTACATAAAACCATGACTTCATACCCAAAATCAGCAATGAGCAAGTCACATAGTATTATAGCTAAGCCTGATAAGAGGCCAAATATTAACAAGGATTTCTAGTGAACCAAAGTTCAACTTACATAATATTTGTACGAAAATAGGTACATTTAATTATATTGTACAGATTTCTGACATTTTTAATCACTAGGTAATAAAATAATAGGTCACCCTATAAACTCCTACCTACTGTTGTTCTTTTCTGGTTTTTTTATTTTAGCTTGTTTTAAAGAAATAAAATCCAAGACAGTATAAGCACGAAATAAAAGTAAGTGAAGATCTTACCTGAGAACCGGCGAATTCTTCTACTCAAAATTCCATAGTAAGAAGCAAAATACCGTAATAATATCTGTTGTATCTACGTATTGATATTATATATTTAAATACTTATTTTTTACACTTGTAAATTACATAAGATTGGTGTAAATGCAAAATATAATGACTAAAGATAACCTCGGTGCGGTTGCAGTGGATTTTTTCACGTACAAAATATGAGTGACACTTTTCAAATGCGCGCGCAGTTCGATCGCTGTTCTACTGACGTTTTCTAATTGAAAGAGAAACGTACACAATATTGAGCCTTATGCCTTTTTATATAAAGCTCTTTAAACAAACAAGCAATAATAATCATGTTGATTCGGAAAGCCATAAAAGCAGCTGTTATGTAAAAAATATAATAATTGTTGGTAACACATAGATTACATATTATTATACACGTAGAATTTTCGTATTCAGGTATATTATATCTCTAATAATAAGATCTTTATTGTTATAATCATATTGGCCTCTCCCAAGGAATGCTAATAAGTACGACATATGTACAGTATAACGTGTACTTGTTGTATTTGTATCTATTTAAAAAACTCTTTTCTGCCCAGAAATTCCTCTGGGTATGTTTTTTTTATAGAATTAGGAAGACAAACGAGCACACAGTCCACCTGATGGTAAGTGAATGCTATGGCCCATAGGCATCATCTATCCTATATTAAGATTAAAAATGCATATGCGTTGTCACCCCTGAACCACAGTCTAACTACTTGTTCTTCTTAGGCTGTGCCTGAACCATACGAAACACAACAACATTGAGCAACTATTTTACGCTGGTATTCTGTGCGAGCGTGGTCATTCCCCGGTGGAGCTGACCCATTCGTGCTATAACCATCAGATAGCTGCAGCACGGCTCTATTACGTAAAATGTAATATATGTATCACCCTTTTAACTATTTCTATCACCAAAAAGCAGTAATTGGACTAACTGTGCTCCGTTATAAATTACGTAGAGAGTCAATAAGCCAATAATAATAAAGGCTGTAAGGCATTCCATCTTAGTCCCAAAACTGACATAGAATATGTAGCTTTCCTTGTTTGAAGTTGACCGCAGGTGTCAATGGACTGCAGTGCTGTATAGCCAATTACCGTCACGTGAACTGTATCGTTTGTCACTTCAGTTATTTATAAAAAAAAAAACTAAAATTTGATAAGTTATTTACATTCCTGTAGATTTTAATACAAAAATTAAAAAAGTATACCTACTTCTACAGCATAATAGCTAATAACTTTACTTAATACTTAACTAGTTGACTCACACTTGCAGGTTATACCTAAACGATAAATTATTACGTGAAAAAGGTATCAGAGAATAATTGAGAATAATACATCGTTCAAGACTATCCATCTTTTATATGTAAGTTATAAGATCTAAGTCTGTTACGAAAAGCTGGTTCTGTATTATTCATCATCATCATCCATCATCATCCATCATCATCATCATTACAGCCCTTAACAAGTCCACTGCTGAAAATAGGCCTCTCCCAAGGAATGCCACAAAGCACGGTCGTGAGACACCTGCATCCATCGACTTCCTGCATATCTTACCTAGTCGTCACTCCATCTAGTTGCCCCCTTACCCGTCGCCTACCGGTACGAGGCTGTCAAACGAGAACTTTTCTTCCCCATCGGTTATCGCTTCTTCGAGCTATATGGCCGACCCATTGCCACTTCAGCTTACTAATAAACCGTTGGGCTATATAGGTTATTCTGGTTCTGCTGCGAATATCCTCATTTCTAAGTTTATCACGCAGAGAAACCCCGAGCATAGCCCTCTCCATAGACCTTGACCTTCCTCATACGTACATCAGTGAAGAACCAAATATCTGTAATATAAAATAATTAACTGTCATCATTCATCATCATTACAGCCTTTTATAAATCCACTGCTGAACATAGGCCTCCCCCAAGTAATGCCACAAAGCACGGTCCTGAGCCACCTGCATCCATCGAGTTTCTGCATGTTTAACTGTATCATTCAAAAACTATATAATAACAGCAAAAATTTCTACTTAGTACAACATTTGTGGTTAAGGTTTTATATTATAGAAAACCGTAGTTCACGACTAAGCAGGACTTACTTTTAACTTTTTTTAAAGAGAATAATGGTGACCAACGAGCACACAGTCCACCTCATGGTAAGTGAGTGCTTTGGCCCATAATAGACATCTACATTTATCCTCGATTAAGAATCAACATGCAGATGTGTTGTTGCCTCTGAGAAATAAGTTGGAATGCCTCGTTTCCAGTAAAAAGAGTTGCCGGTCTTCTACACTCACCATATGAAACACAGCAGTCCTAAGCTGCTATTTTACGCTGGTATTCTAAGAGAGCGTGGTACCTACTACCCCGTTCGGATCGATCCATTCGTACCATGTAGGTACATGTATAATCAAAAATATTATAATATAAACGGATATCGCGATACCACAACAGGACATTTAGTAAAAAATAACTCCAAATTCTATGCGGTGAGGTGACGGAATGATCGATTTATTGTAGTAAGCTACCTACATAACAAAGAGAATAAATATATTTATATTTTTGAATCAATTGGCACTGCAATGCATATTTTTTTTTACATTTTGTAAGTATTACATACTTACAACATTGTGACCGCGGTCCCATTATTACATGCCCACCAACAATGGACTTTCCGACTTGTGTTTTTTAAATCCAATAAAAATGATCTCTTAAAAACTTCTCACTCTTCTTTTCCCGTCACGTTAAAAGTCGAACAAAGCTCATCTTATGTTGGTGTACGAAGCATGATACTCGTATACGAGACGCGTTACGATGTCGGTGACCTTATGTGTATATTTCTATCTCCGTCTCATGTTTACGTAAAGACAGAGATACCACTACAATATCCGATCCGACATTTTAACGCTTGGTAGTGACGTGTCAGATATAGGAGTGTAAACAGTGTATTTTGTTTGATAATTTTTCATATTTGATAAATAATTTAGAGTAAGATCCTTTATAGCAGTGAAAATGCCTAAAGAATTTCACTACGATGTTATAAAACTTATTCATGGCGTTCGGGAACGTCCATGTCTTTGGGATAAAACATTGGAAAATTACAAAGACCGCGTAGAAAGGAGAGCTGCGTGGGAAGAAATCTTCTGTCTTTTGGACCAAACTTACGAACAAATGTCCCCAGAAAAAAAGAGAATTACTGGTAATATATACTTCTATACGGTTTCCTTTTAATATTCGTAATATCAATGCGTCTACCATTTCAACACGTCACGTCACGGGAATCTTTTACAATTTTCTCGTTTAAGCATTGTAAATGCTATTCTACAATTCTTATTGCAAAGGTTATTTGTTTTTTTTTTAAGTAAGTAGCAAAATTACCATCAAAATGTCCTCGCAATCGTAAAGTACATAAAACATTTTATTGAATATTGTATCACGATAAAATGCATTCATACATGTGTTTTATGATAATTAATTTTATTCAAGTAACTAACGTAAGTACTCATACAGCAGAAAACTGGAAGGATCTTTATTCGACGACGGTAAAGATGTGATGTAATGTAGTTCGGTTCAAATCCAATTTTCCGCGAGTGTGAACAAAGTTTAATACCTTTACAGTTTAGGAATTTCAAAACATAGGTGAAATGTACAATAAATATAATTTATTGTGTGTATCACCGATTTTTTCGATTGAATAATTTGCTGTTTTATAAAATTAAGGAATAGAATGTTTAACATAAATTTATTTATTAGGTTCTTCATCAGCCCGTAAACAATCCATTTATGAATAGGGTTTTACTGTAACACATAGCACAGAAAAACTAATAGTACCTAACCTATAAAATAATACATTATCCGTAACCGACGCACTTGGCAAAAGCACATGTCTCGCACCTTTGATGCTGCTTTCCGTCCCGAATTTTAAGGATTTCATATTTAATATAAATACGAGGTGTTTAAATACCAAATAATTAAAGTAATAAACTAGATTTTCTGAGCCTTTTCTTAAGTCGCCTCTCACTCGAATGCTGCTAATACTCAGCATATAATACCTCGTTTGTCTGCCCCGTTTGTCTAGTGATTGTAAACGTGGTTGCTTATCATGAGCTCCCGGGTTCGAATCCCGGGTCGGGCCTAAAATTAGTTATTGAGTTTTTCTGTTAAGCAATTCTCAGTAGCAACCCGGAGGAAGTCGTTGGTGTTTCACCCCGTTCCTCGGAAAGCATGTAAAACCGTTGATCCGGCGCTTGATCTCTCTCCGGTCATGTCGTATTACCGTCCTATCGCACTATGAGATTGGGGAAATAGAGAGTGCACCTGTGCTTGCGCATACACTCTTGCACTATAATCCTGTACAGCGCCGATGGCTAGTTTCCATCGAGACTGGCCGCCGTGATCGAAATATAGAGGACATTATTATTATTGTAATAGTAATAGACAGTAAGAAAAGCAAATTTTAACCGCAACAAATTATATTAATATATGATAACATACTTAAAAACATTATTCTTCACAATATTTATAAAAAAAATGATACTTAGTAATAAAACTGTTCTGTGTATTCATCAGGTGAACTAATATTAAATAAATGGACAAATATTCGCGACACATTTGTCAAGACTCTCAAGACAAAAATGGGGAAGCCTAAAAAGAAATATCTTTTATACGATCACCTGAAATTTCTCACAAAAGTAACACCAGAAGAGGAGACCACTGAAGAATATAACGTTGACGTCCCTATTTCATTCACTAATGTTAAAACTGAAGAAAAGGTAAAACCAAGTTATCACATTAGAAAAAGAACGAAACACATAAATTACGACGAAGAGGTCCCCGACAAAAAGTCTTTAGTGAGAGATTTCGATACTAGTAATGACTTGGATCTTGTAGGTATTGACGAGACGAATGATCCAAGAGTTATGAATGAAGATGAGGCATTTTTTGCGTCATTGCTACCAACAGTTGTTAAGTATAACGAAGATGAAAGATTAGAGTTTAGAATAGAAGTCCTTGCTGTGATGAAAAGAATAAAAGATAATAGAAAATGGCCTAAAGATGATTAGGATTGCTAGTGTAGTGTACATTTACACAGATATTTTTTTTTAAGTGGTAAAGCCATACCGCAGCTGTATTAGTAGTATAGTTGTAGCACGAATGGCTCGGCTCCACCGGGGAGGGACCGCGCTCTCCCAGAATACCAGCGTATAATAGCAGCTTAACGCTGCTGTGTTTCGTATGGTGAGTGTAGAGAACCGGAGGCCCTTTTTACTGGAAAAGAGGCATTCTATCTTATTCCTCACGGATGACAACGCATCTGCATTTTGATTCGTAATCGCGGATAGGTGTAGATATCTATGGGCCGCAGCAACCACTTACCATCAGGTGGACTGTGTGCTCGTTTGTCACCCTTATTCTATAAAAAAAAAAACAACAAAGTGAATAAAATTTGGGGCTTTCACTTCTGAATTTGAAATTATTTTATTCTTTTTAGTTCTTCGTAGTCGGCTTGTACTTTTTAATAAAAGTTTTCTGTTTTTATAACTTTGTCGCTTGTAGGGTTTCTTTATAAACGCAGTTCACTGTTACTAATGTTCACTGTTTTAAATAAAATATATAAGTAGATAAGAACACGCCTTATTGGTCGCGATTTTATTTTATCGTTGGGAACAGTTCTCTTTTGTGAAAATTACTAAACGAAGTTCTCATACAACTGTGTTTAGTGCGAATTAATGTCGAAAATCGACAGAGGGAAACAAATCAGGAAATGGGCAGTAACGTCTTCCTACACCAAATTGTTCATCTTGTAATATTTTTTCTTCTTTTTATTTCTCTTTAAAAAAACGTTACCCCCACACTAGGAGTTTCTCCTGTATCGTGGAGGCAGTTTACAAACACGAATTTCACAAGGACAAACATCCAGAACCGGAACAATTATTTGTAGGCCATACAAATACTTGTTCCGTGCGGAGTTCGAACCCGCGCCCCCCAGCGCAGCAACTCACTGCTAAGCCACTGCGCCACGGAGCCGTCAAACAATATTATCGGTGATATTCATCACATTTTGATAGAATGTGCCCAGAACTCAAGAAAAAGAGCAAATTGTAATTTACATTTGTCCTTAATTGGTAGTAGTAGGTAATAGTATTTTATCGGACTCGTTATCAGATGATGCCAAAAAACTTTATTTGTTAGTTAGTAAGAGATTAAGTAATTAGTAATTAATAAGTTTATTTGTTAGTAATTATTATATTTAAGATTTTTTTTTGTAACTACCTTAGGGCGTCATAATCGCATTAGCGACAAAGGCCTTTTACTATGAATAAAAAAACGTCTACCTAATAACGACTAAAAGTAAAAAAACTGCGATTGCCAACCCGCTTGCGAAGCGTGGCAACTATGGCAAATATCCCCCCCTATGAGACAATCTATGGAGGAGCCCTATGTTCAGCTTTATAAGCTGCAACGGTAGTGTCGAAAATTAATTTAAGGTTGCCTTTATTTCAAGACAAAAAATGTCACGATAAATACTCTAGTATTTATTAGTATCTAGTACTGTAAAATTAAGCACAGTGTGTTGTGTGACCAACAAACATACCGAACGGTTAATTTTTTATTAGTCGATTATATTAAAATCCCCTTTGTCGGAGTTTTCAAATTATTGGTACCTATCCAAATCCAAAGTCGGAAATAATTATATTTCTATTATAAATAAGAACTAATTAAAATTGTACAAATTGTAAGTTATGTATTATACTATAGGCAGTGTATTTGATAAGCGAATTTCCAAAAACGTAATTGTAATTATTAAATATTTCACATAATAAACTGTGGCTTTATAGGTACCCACTCTGTAATAATTAAGCAGATCGTTATAATAAGATAACGATACGTTTAGGTGTTTAGCTGATACAAGAATAAATGTAAATAATCATTCTCTTTTCAAAAGCATGCTGAAAATATTATATTGTAAATAAATTAAAAACTTTTTCAATTAAAATATAATCTGTATATTATTATATCATTTATTCTTTAAGCCCTTGGACAACGTTAAAACGTAGTGATTATAATATACTTTTTGGACTAAGATTGAACCTGAGGATTTAAATTTAACCAACTTTAACTCAGCACCTCGTAGTTTATAATCACTACATTTTACTTGTAGTTGTTTCCGTTAAAGATAGCTTTTTAGCTTAGTCTAAAAACGCAAGCCATATTCTTTTACCAAATTTTTAATAAAGAGGGGTAAAAGGCAGACTAATCTAAGTTCTCAGAGGGTGATGAACTGATGAAGCATAAAAACTATTACATTGCTACATTACTTATTATGTTTTTTTTTTTATAGAAGAGGGGGCAAACGAGCATGCGGCTCACCTGATGGTAAGAGACTAGCGCCGCCCATGAATTGCAGATGCGTTGCCGGCCTTTTAGAAAGGTGTAAGTTTTTTTCTTGAAGGTCCCTAAGTCGTATCGGTCCGGAAAAATCGCCGGTGGTAAACAATTCTACAGAGAAGTTGTACGCGAAAGAAAACTCCTAGTAAAACTTTCGTCGTAAGTCGTGGACCGCCAAACATACAGATGGTGAGGATGGTACCGTGAATTTTGACGCGATATGCGTTCGTGAAATTTGACGGCTGGAATTATTAGGTGGATTGACGACCCTTCCGTGTCCTTAAAATCACAATAGAATTTTATTTATCTTTTCTTTGCCGCCTTTCCGGGAATCGAACACATGTTTCTTGTACATTTCTGACAAGCATTCAGCATCTGAGTAACCATTATATAAAACATCCTATTGCTTAAGTATTCAACTATATATAAATATAGTTATAATATAAATTAAATGACCGGATAGGGTCGAAGCTAGTTATGATACCTAGTGTTCAAATTTTCTGACAACTGGCTGAGACTGACATACATGGTGATTTCAGGATTTATGACAATGAACTATACTCACTTCTTAAAGCTTAAAGTAATTACATAATTAAATAATGAAAAAACGATGCGTGTTGCTTCACTTAATGTGAAATATAAGAGATCATTCTTATTGTATGATATCATACAATAAGAAATATACCAACACTACACTAGTTACCCCAAAAGTGGGAAACTCACTGTTTTTACCAAGGTTTTTACGGTGCTTTTACTTAAATTTCATTGCCATTGCCAGCGGCTATTGACAGCGCCGTTCGTAAAGCATCTATTTGATTTGAACGATACGCCTTGAGCGTACCTAGCAGGCGTCTATATTAATCTAAGATATACATCTTGTGTGAAGTGAGTGCCTCTATATTAATATAATGTTTTAAGTGCATAACATACGCACATGTCCTGTCATTGAAGTATAAATTGTCAATGTGTCCTGTACAGTTACTTGTAGTATAGGTATAGGTTGTTGTTACAACCTTACAACCTATACCTATACCTATACTACGTCCCGCTCCTGGGCACAGGCCTCCTCACATTCCTGAGGGTTAGCGGCGTTAATCCATTGCGTGTTAGCGGACTTTACACGTCCTCAAAATGCTGACATAGTCCTCACACATGCAGTTTTCCACCCGATGTTTTTCTTTACCGCCAAGTAGGTACTACGTGGTAAATCCGCACTAAAAATTGTAATCAATAATTCCATTGGTGCATACGGGTATCGAACCCGGGTTGCTCGCATACTGTGAAATTTATGGCAAATTCCCCTGAACCCAGAGCTACCACAGTTTCACTTAAAAATTGGCTATAGATCAAATAATATCCCAAGGACGGGAAAAAAATCGCTCAGGAAGACTTTCATTCATAAGTTATGTATCCATGGTTTCTTAAAAAATCTTTAGCTTTCCTCCACGGTTACAATCTCAACCTGCGAAACGCACCTGACCGCACCGAAATCCGTTACGCGGAGGTCATCGGTCTAGGAATACGAGTATCCGGAAGTACCAAGCTTGCCGGTCCCAGCTGCGTATCTGGTCTAAGAATGGCTTCGAAATTTCGGGTAGGGAAAGAATAAGGCAATACTGACGCCACACGGATGCTAGCCTATACAATAAAATAAATGTTACTAGCCGTGTAGTAGTAGCTGAAGAGAACCCATCACTCCCTTTCGTCTCTTGGGTGCAGTAAACGTCAGATAGAGGGCTGTTCAACCATATCGTTTACGGCTAGACTTAGAGCAACACGGTTCGTTGCTCTTGGACAAAGAGTATAGAGGGTTATTTTTCAAAGAGTAGCCAGATTTAACTTAACTTCAAATACTTATATAAATAATGATATACCGTTATTGCAGTTTTTGAATGTACGAGGAAATAAAGCTTCAACTTTTATTTGAAATTATCCCAAATTGAATGTGATTTAAGGGCAACATCGTCAAACGCCAACGCCATGTAGTGGCGGTTAAGAATATCCACTACCCCATATCTTCCCGTGGGTGTCGTAAAAGGCGACAAAGGGAAACAGGCAGTAGATGGGCAGCAGCATCTTCCTGACAGCAGCAAAAGAACAATAAAAAAAATTGCGGTTGCCAACCCGCTCGCCAAGCGTGGCAACTATGGCAAATACCTCCCAATGATTAGAGCAACAGAGACGGCCCCCAGTCCCCGGCGGCCCCGCTATTCCTGGCTACGGTGGCGACCATGGTAATGGCGGGGCAGGGGGTGCTAAGAATCTCCGGTGGAGGTTCGGTTGCCACCTTAGACGACTCGACCTGGCAACGTACAACGCTCGCACCCTGAGGACTGACGAGAAGATCGTGGAGCTGGAAGAAGAGATAGACAAGTTGCGCTGGCATATTATAGGATTATCCGAAGTCCGAAGAGAGGGGGAGGACACAGTAATCCTTGAATCCGGCAACTTGCTCTATCACCGGGAGGGCGACCATCTGTCCCAAGGAGGTGTCGGATTTATCGTCCACAAGTCTCTCGTTAACAACGTTGTAAAGATCGGGAGTGTGTCGACGAGGGTTGCGTACCTTATACTCAGAATCACCAAACGGTATTCGCTGAAGGTCATACAGGTTTAAGCACCAACCTCGGCACACCCCGATAAGGAGGTGGAGGAAATGTATGAGGATATCTCT